AGCAGCGTCAGCGCATCTGTCCAATTTATCCATTGCATATCAACCTAAAACAGATTTTCAATTTCTGCAGCAGGAGTTCATGAATTACCTCTTGATTGTTATAACTAAATGACTCTAGTGTAAGGTGACATGATTGGCGATCCATTGGAAAAGCGCTAAAGGATAGTAAATTCAAAATGCAAAAGGTTATGCTCAAAGTTTACCTGAAATCCATTGTGCACGGTCCTTTCACCTGTACCCTGTAGTTTACCCAAACCGTACCATTGGGATATATCATGAGGAATACATTCTTAAACGGCGATTTGTGAATATGAGCTGCTTTGCTGTTGATGAATACAGTGTTTGGCTTCCAAATCTCGTCCATTATCTAAATAGCTTAATCTCATTACAATTCTATTTTCAAAAATGTTGCCAACCTCAGAGTTTAGTGACAAATTGAATTTACAAGGATTCATGTGATCGTATCGCAGAGCATGGTCAAGCCAAAGCTCCGTAATGTAGATATCCATATCGAAATCGCTTGTTATTTCGTTCACTGAGTTAACTTCTTGTACCCACACCTAGGAATTAAAAATAAGTGACTAAAGGAAGGAATGGCTGAGTGGTAGCGTACCTCTATCCATACTATCACCCCCGTTTCCGAAGGAGTTTTGAAGGATTTGTAGTTGTCCAGTAAGCGTTCTATGATTATTTTGTCGCTTGTACACGTACTTTCATCATCATCCTCTGACTCCGCCTACAAAGTATTTCTTTTCCTTTAAGGCATTGAGAAAAATTTGTGTTGCTAGAACTTTTTTCAGTCGTTGAAGGGGAGAGAATCAAATTCAGATGTTCCTAAGAAATTTAGCTTTCGATAATTAATTAAGTCCAGTAAATTCATCTTTGTATACTCCTTTTTTCGTTTTTTCGAATTTTTATAACAATCATTCAATGAAACATACCATACTCGAAGTGGTAGTGACGGCCTTAGGCGAAGCCGTGGGAGGAAGCCCTTGTTTTGGAAACAGAGTATTTTCCTGAAGAAAATATCTATTCTATGTCCTTCAAATCCTCTTTAGCAAATGCATTTCCTCATTGTTAGGTTAATGCAATCACTCCAATCACTGTTAGTCATAGTGTTAGATTTCAACACAAAACCTCCAATATACACCTGCCTATACCGCTGCCGTAGCTCCTCAAGAATTTTGTTATTATGCAAAAACAATTTCCAATAGTAGCTCTAGAAATATCGCTGAGAATATGATGAAAGCAGTAGAAATCAAATTTACAAACCTCCAAAGGGCTTTTCGTTGTAAAGGACGAGAAAGCTATGCTAGCCGTGCAGAGGAAAATAATCTGTCTGTACATTGGCGTATCATCGAAGCATGCCTAACATTTGCCTGAAATTGGGAAAAGTGTTGAAGAAAAAGCAATTTGGAGCAAAAGTAGGGTGTACGAGGCAAAAAAAGTTTTTAAAAATAGCGAGGAAATTGGGAGAACAATGATTTCCGCTACGCATGTTTCTCTATGCGCTTGCCAGATGTGCGTGGGATACCCTCAGCTCTTGAAGCCTCTGTCCTTTTTCTCAGAAATTCACGATACATATATATATAAATTCACGATACAAATATATATATATATGATCAAAATTTTGCAAAAAATTAGACATGGTATGTGTAAAATCCGAAAGTTTGTGCAATTTTTCAGACCTATGCTCAAATCACTCACGATAAAAGTAATCAAAAGCTCCAAACGGTATTCGATGCAGAATTTTTCCTTTTTTTAGCAGTAATATTCTTGCCCCTAGTCCTATGATGATCGCTGAAATAATAATAGGACTTTTCAACTAATGGTTTTTAGCTACCCAAGCTCCAGCTATTCTTATAAATTTTCCTTTGCGGACTTTTGAAAAAGCTTTGATAAAAGTGGGTAGCGTAAGCAATTGCAATACAAAGCAATTTTTCGGCTTCCAAAGCAGGCTTTTCAAAATTGTCAAAATTATTCCGACAAATATCTATTAGGGCATCCCAAATCTCATAAAATAATAAACGGCGAGCATTTAAGTAGATGTATGCATCTTTTTGTCTTTTTTTCGATAAATGTTTTTTTTCTTTCCGGTCTGTGAAATATCGAAAAAAATTCTCCAAAGCCTTCACGTTTCTTTTTTGAACATCCCAGGCTGTACACAGAGAATTTTAATATTCCGAAGCGGTAAATACTTTGCCTTGTAAAATTAGCGTCAGGTTATAACCGAAGTTTGAAGGTTCTAAATTCCGAAAATTTACTGTTGTTTAAATGTTCTTGTATTTTGCAGCTTTTTATACGTAAAGACTTTCGGACAATCATTGTTGAAAATGCCAGAAAGCCATTTCAAAATGCGCAACATATCCACTGTATCGCATTTTGTTCACTCTATCTGACTGATATCGGAGCTTTTCCGAAAGATTGACATGAAAGTTTCAAAAATTAGCCAATTTTGGGGCAAGTGACCATAGAGATTCGAGTTTCAGGACAAAAATGTAATTGCTTAACAGAGCAAGAAATTTTGCATCGAGTACTGTTTCTTTTGTTTGTCGTTATTCTGAGTGATCTGAGCATAGGCCTGGAAAATGGCAAGAACCTTCGGACCGCCCTAACAGATACCAATCTTGCGTTAGTCAGAATTGATTATTAAATAGCCGGATATTTTGGAAACCTCGAGCATGGAAGAACGAGAAGGGAATACTCATTCATACTTTGTTTTCGGTAAGAGAATAATTATCTCATGAAATGCAGGAGGAACACTACCATGCTAGTTAGAAGTCCCAAGTGTATTTTGTGTCAGCAAAATTGATTTGAAATTTTCTTGAGATGGCAAATCATAATTCTAACAACTAAAATTACAGAAAATCATCGTTTATGTTGTAGAAGAGACTGAGACTTTTTGATGAAGAGATGATGAGTAACTTCTGCATCATGCAGTCAGATAACAGAAGTAGCCGCAGATTCGTCACGCCAATCAGCAAGAATAGAAGAAAGCTCATAAAAAGACACACAAGGATACTGATGCATGCAGAGATAAGAGTTGCCACCAATCAAACGATCATAAATAGCGTTATAAACATTCAGCACCCAGGAATCAAAATTAGAAGCAGTAGGATTACCAAAAGACCCAACAAGAACCATAAGATCATCAAAGAAGTCTTCGTAATACTTACAAGCAGCTTTCATCTTAGTAAAAGCAGAACTCAAACCAGCAGACCAGGTCTTGATATTAAAACCGGTAAAAGTCTTAGGAGGAAGAGGAATAGAAAACTGATTAGATGCACCACCATGAAGCATCAAGACCAAGGAACGAAGAGAGAACGTAGGCAGGGAAGCAGACTGACTGCTAAAATCATGCGTATCGACACTAAGCCAGTCATAGAACTCCTTGTTTCCATAGATCGAGCGGAGACGAACATAGAAATTATTCTGCTCGACATCAAGAGAGCCGGTCATCTGAACGGCAAGGGGGACGAACTGACATGTGAGCGAGTTACCGAGACTAACACGGTCACCCGGCATAACGAACTGGGAAGAAGTAAGCCACTGACCGATACTACCAGAGATAGCTTGCTCATAGCCCATCTTAAAACCGGACTTATCCACCGGCTTCATGTTGTAATTAGGCACATTAGTTGTGCGCTTCAAGAATTTACTCATAAAATTAGGGTTTAGAAAAATAGTTAGGTTTAGAAAAATTAGGGTTTAGGTTAACGGCAACGTCTAAGGTTTAGTAAGGACGTCAACGTCTGGGGAGACCTCAACGGTCGAAGGGTTGTTAGTTGTGATAGTGATCGAAGTTGTCGACCCGGAACGGGGCTGACGGATGGACGCACGCGTCACATTACAGCTAGTCAAACCAACGGTAGCCATGCAGGCAAGTAAGATCATGCAGGCAAGTAAGATAAATTTCTTCATAAATTACTTTTTGGGTTTACGAGAACGAATAGATTTAACGAATTGAGAATTATTACCGTAGTCATTTATCAGCTTCTGAGACTGATGAACACGGTCAAGATCATCCTTAGCAAAAATAGCCTTTTCGGCTTTCTGCATAACCTCGCAGGTCAGATGATCATAGACTGGCGGCTGAGGATTCTCAGGAAGTTGCTGAGACATAGCACCATCAGCAGCCGGGACAAAGCAGTCAACGCCTTGACCGCATTGCGGAGTATAAGGGAGACGATGTTCGTGCATACGAGACACATAGTCATCAATTTGGGATTTACTAAGCATAGTCGATAGAATTGTCGTGAGAAAGATGATAGTTAATTTGTCTTTGCTCATGATGAGCAAGAATATCATTTAGAGCGGTTTGGTAGTACTCACCAAACTTGGGACCACAACGGTCGGCAAACGTATTAAAGGCAACATAGTTTTGATTACGATTAAACTCAAAGGTATGAAGCATATCAAGGTAAGTGACAAATTTCTTACCTAAATAGCATTCGTAGAAGGAGTGGAAGTCGAGCCATCCAACCATTTCATACTCACGATTCTTCCGGTCAAATCTGAGCATAGCAAATTGCATACTCTCCGGAACGAACTGGAGCGAGAGACGTAAGTTGACATCAAAGTATAATTGTTGGCGAAACAAGACAGCGGCTGCGTCTCTAATTCCGGCCGCTTCAAGATAAGCAGTAGGCCGACTTTGAAAAGTAGCTGTAGAAAGAGACCCATTGCACACAGCTTTATATATCGCACTCCAAAAACGACTAAATTCACTAAGAGGGATTGAAAGATTACGCGGAGTAGGGAAGCGCCCTGCGTCAAAGCGAAGCGGAAAGAGGTGCTGCTTAGTTTTGCGAAGGAAGTAAGAAGGGAAGACCAGAGATTTTTCGCCAAGGGTTTCACCGATGGAGAAATTACCCGAAGCGAACCGATCGAGGTTCTGAAAGCAATACTGGCCGCCAATAGATGGGCGCTTTGAGCATACGTGAAACGGACGAACGAGTTTGATAAACTGCTCTTTGGTGTAGGCGATACCTTTGTAGTATCGAGAGGTAACGCGGATGCAGCTAGTGGAGAGGTCGAGCCCTCTATGCTCTGCAATGGATGAAGATGATTGTGAATCTTGGAGTTGGTTAGTTTGGTTTTCATATTCAAGAGTTTTAGAAGTGATTACACGTTGACCGGCATAGGGAAGTAATTCCCACGCAGCAGCAACACGATCCGAATTATATTCCGACTTAGCAACATACTTAGCAACATAATGAAAGGCCTTAGTACTAGCATTCTTACCATCCTTAGTGATAGTACCGTTAGCAAGAAGATCATCGACCTTAACATTACCGAGATAGATATTATAGGGTTTTACCTTCTGGCCACGCCAAGGAGCATAAGAACCATCATTCTCAATACACCAAGCATACGACCAGGCAGCAATGAACTTAGAACGAGAGATAGGCTCATCAGACCAAACAATAGCATGAAAGTGAGGAGCACAGAACTGGTGACCATACTCACCGCATTCGAAGTATCTGAGGTGAACACCGGTAATACGCCTGAGGCGCTTCCAGTAGTTCTGCATGTGAGATTTATCAAGGACAGAGGGACGAACGCAATAGACATGATTCTTATTATTGTTATCAAGCATGCTGATAGTATCATGATGAATCACGGAGAGCGCATGAGCTTCAAGATCAACCGGAACACGCTTAGAGTTACGGAGTAGGGAAGAACGGTCATAAGGGCGATAAGTTAAAGTAATAAAATAGCAATACTTGTGCTGATCTGTTTCCAATAGACAACGAGAAACCCACTCATTTTGCTGCGTCTGACGACAATGAAGACACTCACCGCACGGAAGTTCCATCCAAACTTTCTTACCGGAAATAGGGTGCTTGACCATTATTCTCCGAGGAGCATGGCAGTTAGAAAGGAGATATTTGTACAGTGAATTAGAGCAGGGCTCTTCGTATTGGAGATCAGTCGCTTTCATACCAACGGATAAAAGATTCTTTAGCTTCTTCTAATGTATCATAGACACGATTAAAGAAAACATATTCAGGAATATTACCAGGGCAATGATAGTACTTAAGTAGCCAACCATGAAGCAGCTTATCGATATAGACACGACCAGTAAACATGCAGCCGGCAACATAAGTAATATCATCAATTTCATCATGACAAAGATTCCACTCAATGACCGGAGTGGTTGGAGACTTGTATAGAGGCATAAGGCACAGAATAGATATTAGGATCAAAACAAAGAAGAACATAATCAGGATCATGAGCGACCTCAGAAAGACGATCACAAGGAACATAGGTCTCATAGACAAGACCGGTAGAGTAACGAAAAACAGTTACCAAGCGGAGAAGACGAAAGAGATTCATAAGACAAT